TGGCCCCCAGTCATCTCCACAGATCTCAGGTAGTAGGTGCCAGGACTGACTTTGTATAAAGCAGCAATACATGTTTGAAACATACATTCGTGTGGGGCTGCTATTAGCGACGCATAGCACCCACCTAGTGAATGAATTAAGAAGACCTATGAGACACAGCTTAGATTATACGGTTAACAGAGTTACAGGCTTTTCTACATCCCTGTGTACAAGTCATGTACACATACGTCACCAACCTTTGTTCATTCCTGTGCATAAAATGCTTTCGCAAATGGGAGGGGGGGAGGCTTCACTTGAGATCAAAGATCACTTTAATTGAGAAAGTGCAGTCCATTTTTATCAGAAAATTAGACTATTTATAGAACATATTAAAATCATCAGTATCATTGTACATTGTTAAGTAGCTTAGGTTCATGACTGGGCATATACATTCACATGAATCACAGAATAAACATTCCCTTTATCGTTAGGTAGCAAAAACTGTACCAAACTAAGCAGGAAGATCACCCCTCTCTTTTTTTTGGCTCAAGCATGAGATCTTAGACTTCACAAAGGATCCAGACTCTTTAATAGTGCAAAAAATAAGCTATCTCTGTCCAATTTGAAGTTGGGGCGGGGGGGAGATGTTAGACTAGGTCACGATCCATACCCTGTTTGAAACTAGGAGGCACTGTGCAAAACTGGGGTTCTGACACCTCGCTACATGTTCTAGTGCTGTGGAAAGAACCTGGTCAGATACACCACCCTCACCACCCTTTCACTGAGGCAATGCTTGCCTTTTTTTTGGCCTTTTGTGGTTGGACATGATTCCCGACCGGAATGTGCCAATTTGTACTGTTGCCCGGCTGAGCTCACACTGAACATCTGTTTAGGTTACTGAAACTGAAAATCATCCTGACAACAAAAAAGGAGAATAGCTGTCCTCTTTTTTTAATCTTTGCAGCTACCTTTTAAATATTTGGAAACTGCCTGGCCTGCCCATGTGTACACACACACACACACTCACACACTTTTTTTCATACATATTTTTCCTGGCTCACAGGCAACAAGGCTGACATTTTAACAGCAACTGAGAGACAGGCACCTGGATTGTAAACATACCCATTTGGAAGTAAATCCAATTGACTTTAACAGAACAGCCTTCCAAGTGTGCTTGGGCCTGAAGCCAACAAAACTTAAAATCCATTTTCAAAATGAATTGGATGAAATGGACTTGGATGAATTCCTCTCATATCCAATCCTGGCCCAACAATGCTGAAGTCAATTCATATCATGTAGGCTAGGATTATTGGGGGGGGGGGCTAGTAAGGGAAAGGATGTAGACTGGCTGGGAAAATAACAGGGCAAGAAATATGAATGTTGGGCAGAATGAAACCTTGTACAACATGATCACAAGCAAGCTTATTCAAGCTCATTGAGTTCTAGGGGGATTCCAAATAAGCGTGCTTCAGATTTCAGCCTAAATTGGTTGGGGGTGTTTTGTTTTTGTTGCTGTTGTCTTTCTAAAATCCCATTTGTTAATTTCTTTGTCCTCCTTAATTACTTAGATTCACAAGATTTGAGCCCCGTGGTCTCCAAAATATACTAGTCTAACTACTGTAATCTGCTGAGAGTTTATGGGATACGATACTGGATAGATCTTTTAACTAAGACCGAAATCTACAAACCACTTATTCTGTGGAAGTGCTCAAAGAGACTTCAGAAGGGACTTCATTTGCACCACTGAAGAACAAGTGGTTTCTGAATCACAGCCTGCACTCTCAGTCTTAATATATGGGCCTTTTAAGCTGCCTGCAACATAAGCATAGTAGCCCTGGTACTGTATTCCAGAAGCAGAGAACATCCGTTCTGTTCCATACATCTCTTTGCTGGTACAGCATGTCAACTTCCCAGCTCCAAAAAGAACATTCAAGCCCTGCTGAAAATGATGGTGTGCCCTCTTTCCTATATGGGGCTTCTTTCCTATATGTAGCCTTACTCTTCTTCAAAGGATTTTTAAAGGGCTACGCATTCACACTTAAGTTGTAGCAGAGTCTCACTGAGCAGCAAAAGAACTAGTATTTTTCACTATTGATATTGTTAATCATTCATAACACTGAATTTTAAGATGGGTTGGCAATGAATCAAAGATGTTATAAATGATGACATCACAGGCATTAACCAATAGGTGCCTGTGATTCTCTTTCTGCTACAACACTTGCAACTTAAGACAATATGTTATTTGAGGGATGCTAAAGTTTCAGAGCTAGGGAAGTCAGATATCCTCATACTAGAAGCATGGCCCTCCAGAAAAGAAATACCTGGCTCTTTTACAATAAATGAGTTATAGTTTTTGTTGAGCTATAAACTGATTATCTAGAATGCCCCTTGAGGGATGTCTATGAAAAAGGTATTTGTATTTTTCTGGAGCAATCCTGTGATTAAAGCCAGCAGAAATCTAGCCTTCTACTTCTGAATCCTTACCTTTAAAAATTAGAAAATCTGCATTGCTAACCAAAATCTGACTTGTTTCATGTATATAATGTCTCCATAAAAATCATTCCCAAAGCAGTCCCATGTATTACATGGACATCCTGCCATATGTATGCAGCTGGGACTCTAGTCTTGTACCCCGCTCTTAAGTACTTTCTTGCCAGACACTTTCATTGCTTGCAAACAATGCTGAGCGTTTCCAAGAAATGTTCTTAGGAGACTGCAGTAGTAGCCATTCCAACACTTGTTATTCACTCACTTGGGATTGTCTACGTTAAGCTTGCCATGAGATGTCCCTATTCACATCCCATTGAAATGAATGGGGCTCGTGTGGGAGCACCCCCAAGGCATTACTCATATCAGTGGGGGAAGGCCACAAAACTTCCTTGTAGGTCCTACCTACTCTAGCTAACATCCTAAATGGGAGTTATTATAATTAAAAGGGTTCAGTCCCCCTTTACCCTTTAGAATTACAGGTAGTATGGTAGATCACCTATTTCCCTTTAGTGCCACATAAAGTGCTTCTTCTTTTTAGAAAGTGTGAGAACTTGCTGTAGCCTGCAAGCCACACACTGAGTAATCCCTCTCCTTTCGATGGGGCTGCTGTGTAATTACTATGGACAGATGGAGCAACAAACAAATTTCCCTGGAGTATATATATATATAAAAATATATGACAGCCTTTTGAATACACAGACAAAACAAACCAGATCTGTGGCCATGGGGGGGGT